AGTTGGAAAGCTGTTGGTGGAGAAGGCGGCGGGTGTGTCAATGGCAGCGGTGAGCATCGCCGTTGTGTTGGTGGCTATGTTTTGGGCCGTTTAAGGATCTCTTCCCGTTGAGCCCAATATATTTGGGTTCTGCTACGAGTGTCAGAACGGTTGGTTTGGGTCTGATCCGTCAACTAACGGGCCGGATTCGGGCTTGATTCATTTTATGTTTTTCATCATTTAAAATTTATTTTTCAGTAAAAAATTTATATATATATATTATATAACACAATAAAACACAACAATAATATATGAGAAAGACAATTCGATTCAAACATACAAACTTTCTTAGTATAAATAATTACATTATTTTATTATATATATAAATAGTGGGAATGGTAACAAATGATTTTGAACAAATTTTATTGTATTTATATTTAATTTGCTGATATCAAAAATAGATTTAAATGTACCATAAATTTGGAATGAATTTAAATTTTTTTTTTATATTATTTAGACCGTGTTGAATTTATGAATAATTAAATTCAAAATTTATCATATGGTTTTTATTATATTAACAGAATATAATTATATTTATATTAATAAAAAACATATTTATTAATACATATTTAAATTTATATTTATACTAATAACAAACTAACACATGTATATATATATATATATAAAACAAATTGAATTTACACGAGGTTTATAAATGTTAAATTTAAATATGTTATGACTTACTTTTTTTATTTACAAATTCGAATATGATTCTATTTTAATTTATTTTTTAATTAAAAAAAATAATATTCGAATAAATTATATTAAACAATTCCATATGTAAAATATAATGTATGATAGAAACATTTTTTTTTCCTAAAATAAAAGTATTTTCAAGATTTAATGACTTAAATTAATTTTTTTTTTCCATTTAGAGATTAATTAAAAAACTAAAACATTTCATTAACCGTAGCACGTGTTAGTTGGCGAGACTTTTGCCCTTTTAGACTTATTTATTTATTTTTATTTTTCCTCAATCTCAATATCCTCGTTGAAAACAAACCTTTTACATATGATTACACGTTCACATAATTTTCAATTTTTTTAATGTTGACTTAATTTTATTTTGAAAAATAATTTAATTGATTTATGAATTTATGTTCCTAAATATATCATTATGGATTATATTATATAAAAATGTTAATTTATAAGAAAAAAATTAGATTAGAAAAAGTAAAATATTTCCTATACTTAAATTACATAAATGCGTATGTTTAGTCGATATATAAAATTACATAACACACAATTATTATTCACTTAAGTAATGAATTATGCATAAACATCATTGGAAAAATAGAATTATAAAATTCTGAGTTATGACAAAATCCAACATTAATCACGTTTTCCTTAAATTTTCCCCATTAAAAGTGGTTAATTCCAACTGCCTAATCTCCAAAATTATGATTAAGAGAGAAGTGGGCCCCGCCCAGTTGATCATCGATCATGAAAATTGAACGGCTCAAATTGGCCCTCTTTCGGCTAAGTCACGTGACATGCCGATGACTCATGGACCATTATGTGTTACACACAAAACTTTGTAGCCTTTTTTTATTTCCTCCTTCGTCCATGTCAGCACGGTTTGGCGTCTTTGACGATGATGGCGATGAGTCATCATCATCCGTCCGATCAAAAATATCACGACTATTCTCGACCGTCGATCAACTCTTATCTCTTTTTTCAATTTCAGTACTACTGGCAAGCCAATTTTTTTTTTTAAGTAGAGTAGCTATGAGACACAGAAAGTAAAGCACATGAAAGGAGATCTTCCCATTTTACTTCGATGCTCACTGACCCTTTTATCTTTTCCTCTATCTCTCTGTGATCTCTCTTGTTCTTTCTCTGAAACTCTTTCCGTCTCTCTCTCTCTCTTTGGCAGCCATAGAACCCGGTGAGCTTTCTGTGCTGTTGTTTGCTATTTGTTTATGGCCTTTATCATTTTCGCTTTGCTTCTTTTTTTCGGAGCAAAAACCTTGCAGTAACAATAAAGGGAATACGGAGATCTGTTATGTTTAGAGAATATTGTCGTAATTATCAGAAAAAGAAGGATCTGTTGTTTTATTCGTAGACAGTTTTGCGCTAGGGTTTTTGTGTCGATTTGGTGCTTCTGATTTATCAGTCGATATATATCGATTTATCATTCTGTTATTTCACTGGGTTTTCATTCGTTCTTCTGGGTGTTGGTGAGTCTAGGGTCTGAAGCAACATTTTTTGAAATGGAAAATGGGAATGGTGTTGTTGGTGGGTACGTGGAAGAGAAGAAGCCTGTAGAGGACAGGGTTCCTGAGGAGAAGGCCGAGGAAAAGGTTTTGGAGGGCTCTGATGGATCGAAGGATGTGGAAGAGGAGCTTTTTGAGGAGGCTGTTGGTACCCAAGAACATTTTCCGGAGGAAGGACCAAAACCTGAATCAGGAGGTGGTGGCTCTTTCTTTGGAAATTCGGGTTCAGTACGAGCAGATAAGAATTTTATTGCAGGAAATGAAACGGATGATATTAAAAAGGCTTTTGGATTTCAAGGCGAGGCTGGGAGTGGTGAGGAGGCGGCAGTGGTTTCGATCGAGGGTCAGGTGGGGGATTCGGTTGGCGTGGAAAGTGCTGATGGGGTCCAGGTGCTAGATAAGTTTGATGATGAAGGGACTGAAGTTGAGGCAGCTGCTGATGAATTGAGTGGAGGAAAGGAGGCAGCTGAAGGTGACGAATACATGGACTTTTCAAAGGGTGGAGATGAGGTAATTGTAAAGTCTGATGTTGTAGTTGAAAAAGCTAATGGGGCTAAGCTTCCAGATAAGATTGATGAAACGGAGGCTGAAATTCAAGCAACTGCTGACGAATTGAGTGGACCAAAGGAGGTTAATGATGTTGGTGTCAATGGAGACGTGGGAGCTTCTAAGGGTGAGGATAAGGAGGTTGTGAAGTATTGTGTAGAGGTTGAGAAGCCTGATAGGGTTGAGGTGCCAGATAAGATTGATGAAGGAGGGACTGAGATGGAGGCTGCAATGGTTGAATTGAATGGAGGAAAGGAGGAATCTGAGGTTGGCATTAGTGGAGACATCGAAGTTTCTAAGGGTGGGGATGAGGCATTTATAAAATCTGCTGTAGGGAATAGGAAGTATGAGGATGTTGAATCTGTTAATTTGGGGAATAGATCAGTTAATGAAAACACTGAAAATGGAGATGCCGATAGGGTGACAGGAAGTGGTCATGAATCTCATGGAGAAACTGAATTAAGCGGTAACTCTTTCCTTGAAGATAAAAAGTCTGAGGAATCAAAGGAGGATATATTGTGTAATGAACGTGGGGATGGCAGTGCAAATGAGTCAGTTGATTTTTGCACTCGGCTGGAGCATCAAGGTGATGGGGGCAAAGAAGTGAATGAAAATTTGGCCAAAGGGGAGGTAGAACCTAACGGTATTAGGGGAGATGCTGATAATAAAGGAGCTGAAGTGATGAGAACTTTGGATAGTTCTACCACAGAACATCAAGAAAGTGGGAATGGTGCTCTTAGATATACTTCAGCTGAACCACAGACATATGTTAAAGAAGAGGGAGCAATTATTGGAACTTTGCATTCCTTAGAGAAGTCTGCAACGGAGGTACAGGCAGGTGCAACAGAGTTAAAGTTAGAGAACAACAAGAGTTCTCTTCCTGTACAAATGGATGAAAAAGTTAATGAAGTTCAGAATGGTCATGCT